TCACCTTCCTTGACCTGCTGGCAATGCTTTTTCTAATGCTTTCCAAGCATTAGAAAGATTCTAATGCATGCCCAACCATCCCTGTTCTCCACTGACCTTCTTGGCAGCAAGTTGGTCAGCTTGTTGTCTACCACTCAGGTTCTACTTTGCAGAACTACTCTCCAGCAGGTCAGCCCCATCCTGTGCTGGTGTCTGGGGTTATTCCTGCCTCGGTGCAGGACTCTGCACTTGCCTTTGCTGAACTTCATGATGTTTCTCTCTGCCCATTTTTGCAGCCCACTGAGGTCACTCTGATTGGCAGCACAGCCCTCTGGTGTACCTGCCACATCATCTTGTTCATCTTGGAAATTCTACCTGGCAGATACAGGTAGCATGTTACTCACACACACACACTTCTTATGCTGGAGGAGGCAGGAAACGGTCATTGCTTTGATGCCTTCTGTTTGGCACTCTGGGCTTACAGATTTGCTTCCTTCCACGCCTTTTTGCAAACTGAAGAGAAACCATGTTTCTGTTATTTCAGCTAGTCACATTACTGTATTTCCCATTTTACAAAACATCATAATCCCATATTCAGCCACAACACTTGCCCTGGACTCTTTTGCAGCCTTCTGTGCATGTGATTCCTCTCATATATAATGAAACGTCTCCTCAGCTAGTTCACAAAGCCAGTATTTTATCCCTAAAATGTCGTCTGAAGATTCACATGGTCCAAGAAGTAACTTGGTTACTGTTTCCGCCATCCTCAGCAGAGAGTGGTAGAGAGAGAAGGAAAGAGAGCGCAGAGGTGCTGAGATTGTTCCCTCCCACTGCACTGGTGGGGAAACTTCATCCATGTAAATCACCACAAACAGCAGTGTCAAAAGAAGGGTTTGGATTTGGGTGTCCCTTACTTTGTCATGTTTTTTTGTTTGGCTGCACTGTTTTTCATTCTGCCAAGATGTCTGTCCGTGTCGGAGCTAAGTCATTAAGAATTTAAGGTAACTAAGCATAGCCTGTTGCTGTCCTTCCTCCAGCACACCACAAGCAGATTGCTTAATCTCTCACCACAGTCCAAGGATAACAACCATAGGTTTTACAAGTTAACTAAGTGTCCAGTCTTGCTAACGTGAACAATGATTAGAGGAAAAGTTACCCCATAGAAGCAATAGAATTGCATTTTCAAAATTAAGGGTAAGACAATTTTCTAATTAATTTTCTTTATGCTAGTTTATAGACCCACAAAAGTACTGGGTTGGCAGGTGCCTTGTTTGAATAAAGCTCTACCTGTTTTGGGAACCTCCATGCTCACCCTACCTACCTCCTCAGAGTCAAAGGTGACATAAATTTCATAGCTTTGTTAGGAGTTTTACAGGCGCTTTTTTGTTGTACTTCTGTGGGAGAATCAGAAAGTAGCACCTAAGGCAGTTGCTAAAGAAATAATAGGGGAAAGCTTTCTGATTTTGCTGCTCCTGTTTTTTTAAGACCTATACGCTAAGTTGCGATGAACCTTCTCTTGCATGGGGGGTAATGTGAGTGTCCAGGAAAGAGGTGACAAGCAGGGAATCACAGCATTCTTTTATGGCAGGAAGGAGCATGTGCCCTTTGGAAAATATGGTCAGGGTTTACTTCTCAGGTTTACCTTACACTGCAGACTAAAATTATTGAACTGATTATATCTCCTTTCAAACCACCATTGGTCTACTCCTTGTATAGTTAGACCCGGCTAACTTTGATAGCCTTCAAATCTAGAGAATTTTTCAGAGTTTCTGTGATAGGAAAGAGGGAAAATTCATAGGAATATTTTCTCTAAATATTTTCTCTCTTTTTTTTTTTTTTGAACTGATCTGAACTATTTTGTTCAGCCCAATGTGAAAGTTCTGCTGGATATTGTCTATACTACCAGTACAACAGGACAGACTTACAGTAAAAGCATTTGGGTCTGTCCACCAGTGAGGTGTTTGGGTCAGATGAAATGAAATATTTTGATTCAAGAATACCAGAGTTTTATTTCAATTATCAATTATTAATTATCTGACGATAATTAATCATCTCTGCTTCTGGAGTCTGGGCAATTTCCTAGAAACTGAATCTGGGCCTTGACATCATCATTCTGTCTGTCTTTAACATAGGTAATAAGATGAAGTCCTTGTGTTCTGCCTTTTGAGCTATTTGGTGGCATTTTGGTAAAGTTTTGAGGCTTTTCTCTACAACCTGGGGTCTTGAAATATAATTGAGATTGTGGCCAACCTTTACCTCCAGTCAAAAAACCCCAGAGCTGAAGCTTTAGGAAAACTAGTAGCTCACTTGAGATTTGTGGTAGGACTGTGTGATTTGGCTGCTCTCTCAAAATGGGGATATTTCTGTTTCTGAAATCTTTTTTTCTTTTTTTTTCTTTTTTTTTCTGTGATTTAGCACCTTGCATGAAATTTTCCTTTCAAAAGAATGCTTTGCCAGAGAAGGCGTGTGATAGCTGTGTATTAGCTCCCCTTTCTGGAGGCATTTGGGTATCTGATCCACAATGAGTGGGCAATTAAAGGATACATTTTCAGAGGTGTTACATCTTTTTTATCTTTTATAAAATTTTACCTTTTTTCAGATTGCTATAGGTTTGGTTTTTGCTGCTAGAACCCATATGTACTCTGTTCCTGCATCATCCTGGTTTCTTCCCCTGCTAATTCTGCCTGTCAACCAAATACAGGTTTCCTGCATTGCATCAAAACATATGACTTGTGAGACCTTTATTTGGCTATGATTCCTTTAATAAACAATAGAATTTCCTTGTTCACTCAAGAACCTCACGAGGAGTCATCTGCAATGATGTCAAACATTTTCCATTTATCTATATTAGAAACCGAAGCATTGATTGCAGAAAGCTCTTAGGATTACAGATAGTTTAGGACTACCAGATATTTGTGATTTAAAATATCATTTACTACTTGAGTAATATTTTCTAGTTGTATAGCATCTGTTTTGAAAAACATGGTTCCAAGCTCCTCCGCGTGTAGGCACATAAATAATTTTGGCATAATGTATATTTCTTTGTGAGGTTAAGGCTGAAAACTTCACACCATATAAACTGCATAGATACTTAAGGTGAACTTAAATATGCATCTAGCCAGGTTTACCTCTACAGTACTTGCTTTTGAGAGTTATAGACAGGTGTTGCAGCTACAGAGGATAATTCTTCATTCATGCATATCATATTTGCTTGCTAAAATTCCCATTTATGACTAGAGTCCCATATTTCATTACAAAAGAAGCCTCATTTTATGTTTATGCTGCATCTTTCCTTAACCAACCTTTTGGCCACTGAAAAATGCAAAGCTAAAGCCTTTGAAATGACCCATATGGCCACCCAACTGGTCTCAGGGCACCACGGATGTGCTAGCACTTCTTTCCATTGCAGGGATTAAATTTAGATAAAACAAGCATCCTGGAATTTTAAAACCAATTTTAATGTTTCCTTTTTATTATTTCTGTCCAACAAAAGCAACACCACCAACAAACAAGAGGACAGAAAAGGCAGAAAACAACTTTATGCAATCCCATAATTTGAAGCTATTTCTATTGTTTGGTGGCAAAGATTGTTAATCTATTGATGCAAAATAAATGACTAAACTGCTCTTATCTGTTGGACAGATTGTGCTTGCTAAAATAAAATCAATTGCCAGCAACCAGAAACTCTGTGTTCTAGTGCAGTGATTTGTCTTTGGCTAGAAAAGCTAGCACAAAGTGAAAAAAAATCTCTGACAGAGCACCTGTGCGCCCTATGCATCTCTCCCTTGTCCCCTGAGCTCTGTGAGAGGTTCAGTACAGCATCTCAAGGCATTGACCAAAAAAAAGCAAAAAAAAGAACAGGGAACAAGAACAGATAGATGTGGCCTTCTCCACTGCTGCCATTGCTGCAGGCACGCACGCATGAGCTGCCTGATGACTTCCACCTCATGGTTCATGGGAGAGAAGGAGGCCTTTCCGGACAGTTCAATTCACCCTATTTGGGAGGTCTAAAAGAGTCATATGATTTCTGGCCCAGAAATGTCTTTTTGCCTCTGAGGACTGACTGTAAACGGAGGCCAGAGTGACTAGCTCAAGTGTGGGTAGCCCACAGAGTAGCTGTGAAAATGAGGAGAATCACATCTCTCTGCATTCCTGTGGCTGAAGCTTCTGGATTCTCCTCTTTCAGGTCCTCTAACACAGCTTGGCCAGAAACCTTCAAGTTCTCAACAGCTGTGGCTTTTATTCTGTTTTTGCTAGCTTCTTTTTTTCAACAAAAATGCCATTTTTAAGATTCTTGACAGTTTTTCAAGTGCATTTTGGCAACTGTGGGTAATAGTTACGTTATGCTATGTGCAATGGATTAGGCACCAAATCGTGCTAAGCAACTCTGTGCCCAACCGTTATGGGGTACAATAGATGGCCAGCATCAGGGATACAGCGATGGAAGGACCAGGCAGTACAAGGAGCAGGAGGCTCACGTCAAACCAACTTGGTGTTCAACTAAAAAATTACCCTTTCCTGTATCTTGAGGGAAAAAAAAAAACAGATGTAGCTATATGATAGGAAATATTATGGTGTTCTTTTCAGTATGCAGAAAGATCAGCTCATATAAAGTCAGGCATCATCTAACAAATATAAGTGATCTTTTACATAAACCAATCAAGTGTGATATAATACTAACACAAAGAGTAAAAGGGGCGCTTTTTCTTACAGAAGTGTTACTACTTACTCATCTGTGAGATGCCAATTTCCTAGGAAAGAGAAATACACGGCTCTAAAATAACAAATATAAGAAAATATATGAATTGTATTAGTTCTTTTATTTCTTTGGAAAAAAATGCACAGTACTAGACTACTTTAAGAATAAAAGTTGTGATTAACTTTCATTGGAAAGGACTCAATCCGAGAAAAAAAAAAGACCTAGAAATCATAGCTACTACAGAGTGTGAAGTTTGAGTTGGAATGGCTGGCTGATATTTCCTTTTTGAGTAGGTCCAAAATTCTTGATGGAAATTTCTAGTTTAACAACCTGTGGGAAAAAAAAAAAGGAGAAACATGTTAAGGGATACATTTTTTTCCTCAGATTACAGGAAGTGTTAGAAAATACTTGTCTAGATGTAGCACATCAAAAGAGTGTGTGTATGCATCAGGCAATTTTTAGCAATTGCTTTCCCACCCATCCTTCAATATATTTACTAACTTGATTCCAACTAGTAAAACCGAACTATGGTGAATTTCTACAGGCACAAAATGCCTGCAGTGGGTTGGAATCAACTGGGACTATTTATTTTCCATGTTAGATATGCTGAAAGGTGTTTCCTCATTAAAAAGAAAAAAAAAAGGGGGGGGGGGGGGAGGTATCAGAAACTTTTGTTTCTGAAGAAAAGCACTTTATCTTCTGGCATAAAGTAGATGATTTGATAGCACATCTCTACTGTCATGTTTGCTGAGGATTTGAGCTTACCCATGAGCCCAAACTACCTGCACAGCCACATAAACTACAAGTGATTGGTCTCTAAAGTCTGCCCTTTATGCAAGAAGCTGGACATGTTAGGATTAAATCACCTTTTTTCTCACTCACACCCTGAGCAACGAAGCTCTGAAGGAGCTGGTAGGGAAGGGACCTCCCATTTTACTTGTTGCCATTAGTGTGACCCAGTCCAATATCTGACTTGCAGTGCAAGCCAAGAGCAGACATGCCGTAACGCCCTGTTAGGAGCCATCATGTTTCTCTGGGGAGGGACAGTAAAACACTTCATGAAGGTCCTTACTCTCTGGCACTGTGCGGCGGTAGAAGCACCAGGGGACACCAGCGGGATGTGCCATGAAGCAGCAGCCCCTCTTTTCGCACTGTTCAGCTGTGATGCCAGGGTAGCCGCAGTTTACTCTTGCCCGAACGTTGGTAGGGCATACTTTCCTGACTGTGTAAAACAAAATCAAAGGAAGGAAGGAGACCGTATTGCTTTACGTTTCTTTTACCAGGTGCACAGAAACACAGAAGCACAGAGCAGTTTGAGGTTGGAAAGGACCTCTGGAGATCATCTAGTGCAAAGGAAAGTTTGCTGCAAGGAAAATGGGATGCATGAGTGACGGGTAAGCAAGGTCTGATGCTGCCTGGTACTGGCAGCAGTTTTCTAATAGAGGTCTATGTCCAATTGGTTAGCCTTACAGCAAAAGCAGAGTTATGCCCCTTGTACACATTTCCGCAGAATCAAGCACTAAGCAGATCAATGTTTCTGGCAGATATATTACCTCTCCTTTGTTTTGGAGTGAAGCACCAAGGAACGCCAGGGACTGAAGCACTGAAACAGCATCCAGCTCTCCGGCACTCCTCTGATGTGATTCCTGGATGTCCGCAATTTGACCTCTCCTTGGGGGCCACGTTACACTGGCATTTTGTTGCTGAGCAGAAAAAAAATAAATAAATTATTAGGTGTCTGTGCTCTTGTTAGTGGAAGTCCATTTATCAGTTGTCTATTGGGAATGGTGAACTTTCCCTAGACTATGACAGTCTGGACAGTATACATTTTATGTAGCTTACTAAGATCGGAGCCTGAGTAGTTTAAAATCTGCTACTGGTAAAAAGATAGCAGGTGAAATGCTGGACCTGTTATAGCTGGTGTGAAACTCCTTCCAATTTCAATAAGGTCTGTTCTTCAGCCAGCACAGCACTGCACAGCACAGTGAGGGCTAGGAAGTTCAATTATATCAGATTAAATGGTAAAAAAATATAACTTCAAATGTTACACCAGTAAATGTTTGTTGTTTTGTTCATATCGCATATTCACAGAATTCTTGGGGTAGGAAGCTGTACTCTCTTGAGATCATTAGGTCCAAGCTCCTTGCTCAGGCAGTCCAGCTAGAGCAGGCTGCCCAGGATGATGTGCAGACAAGTTTTAAATATCTTCAAGGATGGAAACTGCATAGTCTCTCTGGGCAACCTGTTCCAGTGTTCAGCCACCCTCACAATAAACATTTTTTTTTCTTATTTTCAGGTGAAATTGCCTGTGTTTCATTTTGTGTCCATTGCTTCTTATCCTGTCACTGGGCACCACTGAGAATAGTCTGGCTCTTATCTTCCTTACTGTCCCTCCACACCAGATATCTCATTTGAAGGAAGAAAGAGTTAGGGATAGGTGGAAAGAGGCAAAATCTCTGCACTGCCTTCAGATGACCATGAAAATATAGAATTATGTATAAGTAGTTACATATGTGCTTTTAGCATCATAGTCCTCCCCAGTCAAGCATTTCTGGAGATGCCATTAGGGCTCTGTTACTGAATTACTTACTTCCCACTTTTTGGATTATCTAAATGACTGCCTTTTATTAAAAAGGCAGATGATTGATAGATTTCTTTGAACTTGTATTCACATGACAAAGCAGCATAAAATAAATGCCAGAGCATTACTGAGATAGAGCAAGTTCCTGCAGTCCTTGTCTAGTAAATTGAGTAAATCATTTTAAGCATTCCTGTCCCTCTACCAGTATAGCAGACTATTGGTTGTTCTGCTACCATAAGAGATCTCCTGGAGTCTGTTTCTGATGTTGATACTATATATACATATATATTTTTTGCCATGGATTTCCTTGCAAAACTTAAAAAATAGACTTCAGCTTCTGGACATGTATCACAGCAAGATATTCACTATTTGATGCACAAACTGGAGACATGTGCTTACTGCAATTACAATCAGTAGCATCATGCCCACATAGACAACCATCAAGGCAACAACAAGCAGGTGTACTTACATCGTGCCACTTTTGCCTCTGCCAAGGTGCTGAGGGCTACAACGAGGATGAGGGAGAGCACGCAGATCCCTTTCAGATCCATTGCTGACAGGAGCCCTCAGGCCTCGGACTGCTTTGGATGGGAAGGCAGATCGAGGTGAGGTGCTGCTTTCCATCTGAGCAGCTCATTTTATACACTCCTCGTGTTTGCACAGTAAGATCTGATAACATTGTTCCACACTGCTTCACGTAGAGGGTTTTTTTTTTCTTTAATTAGGAAATGTTACCATGTATATTCTGATATCTCTGATTCCTGAGATAAATTTCCAGGCTCTTGAGCTCAATACATCTTGAGCTCATTGCTGTGTGCCTCTGAGTGCCTCAGCTGGCTTCATTAACATTAGAGCATTTCAAATCTCTGAGCAGCTTTAATTGGTTGCCACTACTTAAAATAAATATACATACATATAAAAATTATGCTTTATATATGCATACACATGTACACACATACATTATATATGTAATATACACATATTTTACATGTAGGTATATATATATACATACTTCCCTTCCAAGTATATTTTTTTCTGCTTCAGGTTTACCTGCACTGAACCTGTAAGAAGGAGAAGCTGAAGGTCTGACAACTCCAAGCTTTCTAAGGCTATAGCAAGCGCTGTGTTAGGAAACCAACATCATCACTATTCCAGGCAATATTTTGAATCATATGTCCGAAACAGAAAAGAATGGTAGACTTTCTGGAGGAAACCTTCTCACTCCCTGTAGAGTTTTTCTTGGGAAAGTCATGGTACAGGCTGCTTCCTATTTCCTTTGCCTTGTTCCTGCGATAGATTATTCCTTCACAACTTGTGCAAAACCAAGGGCACATAATTTGCTGAAAAATAACTTCTGAAGGAAGCCTACTATTAGTTTTGGCCTGATAATTTTCCCATGATTTAATAGATTATCTTCAATGCATATATCAGGACACAGGACTGTTCATTTGGGTTTTATTCTCCCTTTTGGACCGTTTCCCAGCATTTTCTGTAATATTCCTTAATTTTTGAGTACTAATGTTTGAGTACTATTAGTCTTGCTAGATTTACCACTTACTAGAACAGAAGGCACCATTTCCCTTGGAAAATATGGTTCCTTATCTGGTAGGTTGCATGACAACTGTGGTCGTTCTATCCAAAAGAACAAGAGACCAAAACTTAAGGCAAAGACCACAAAAAGACAAAAAAAGAAAACCAGACCATCAAAGTAAAAACAGTTCCTACTAGCAGGAATACTCCCTTGGAGAACAGGCAGGGACATCCCGGCAAGAGACACCAGGCTTTAAGGTAAAGACGCACCTACAATTAGACTCATGAGACACTGGCGTGACATTTCCAGAGAAACCTAAAGGAATCAGTTCCTTTGCCAATAAATGCGGTGTTTACTGCACAGAAATCTTGCCTTTTTAAAGAACAACTTTTCATCATTGAAAACCTTGTTGCCTGAGTTGTTTTTTCTATGCTAGTCCATTATGTGAATCTAGATACAATATAGATACCGTTGATATTAATATCTCCACCTTCTCAACCATCAGAGAGATCTTCCTATTCATGATTAGGAAGAGGATTCAGTGTATTTTTTGATCTTTGACAGAACTGTGTCTTTAGTTATTATATATGAATTTGCTTAGTGCCTCTTTTGTTGTTGATGTTCAAAGCACAAAATGTTTAACTCCTACAGTTATGTTTTCAGGGTTATTTATCTGTTAAAAAGTATTTTGAACCTTGTAGGAGAATGCTGGGCTTACAAGGGCAAAAATAATAGAGCTCATTTTCATAATAAATACATGAACAGCATTTCATATTGAAAGGCATGATTTGTAAGCGGACATTTTGTGTATTCTTCAGGCCACAAAACATGAATCTGCAAGCAGAAGGGGACTGTGCTCTAACACTCAGTGATTAATGTCATAATTTTTACCTTCATCATTTGGAGAAAATATTGGATCTGAACTTTGGAGAAAAAATTGGATCTGAACTTTAAAATCCAGTCTTCTCCTTACCTGCAACATTGATCGTGGTTCCAAAGGCTAAAATACAGTGCTAAGTCCAGTGAAGTCATTAAAAATTTTCTGATGATTTTATTTGGAGCAACACCACATCATGCAGAAGGTATGAATGGCTGAAATATTACCTTTGTACAAAACAAAAATGATTATCCCAGATGGGGAACTTTGTTGCTTTCAGTGAGCTGCAGGAGTTCTTTATAGATTATCACTCCACAGTGTGAGTCAGGTAAAACTGCTGATAAAGTTTGTCACTCCTGCCTCTTACTGAATACTTAATTATATCCTTATCCGTCAGCTGTCACCTATTGGGCCTGATTCCATTGCATGCACAAAGAGAAATGTACCACTGAATTTTCACTGCGGAAAGAGTACATGATTGTCATCTTAAACAAACACATTGAAAGAAATAGGCTTCTTGCTTTTTGCCAGCAGGTTACTTTAAAATATTTAATATATTTATATAGTAAAGACTTGAAAATTATCTTGGGTTTCACTGCCAAAGTTTTTCCTTCTCATGCGCCAGTAACCATCGAGACCGTTTGGTGCCTTCATGTTGAGTGCCCAGGCTCTGCTGTGCTCCGGATTACAGACCATCTTGATGACAGAAGAGCATTCACCTGAAGGAGGCACTCAGGAGAAGTGACAGTCTGACACTGATACTTGAAGTGTAACAGGCTTCATGCCATCCACTCACTGGAATACTCTATTTAAGAAACTATTTGTAGAAAGTATCACCATGAGCAATACTCTCCTCGCATATCAGTAGGCCTACTGTTTGTCTTACTCCACTATGGTCACTTGTGTTGTCACCAGCTATCCCTTGTTATCCTTCCTTTGGACAGTTTGCAGGTTTAATGGGTGGAGAAGAAGCAGTGATGTAGCAATTCCTGTCACCCCAGCGTGGCCAAGGCTGCTCTCCCCAGCAAGTTAACTGGGCAGTTTGCCTACAGAAGTCTTAGGACTCAAACCCATTAGAGGTGAGGGGACAGACACCAAGGTAGGGGTGCTGCAGGTACCCAACTGATGTGGCCAGCAGCGCCAGGAGAACTAGGAGACTGGAGTTGGGGAGTTTTTCTGCAACAGGAGGTTAGCCGACATTCCCATGAAGCAAACTGCAGCCACATTCCACTGCATGAACTTGCAAGACATGATGCAGCCATGAGTTTTCTTGCTCCTACTGTCTGTAAAGAGAGAAAATTAAATAAAGTTAAGCAAAGCAGACAGTTGGTTTTAGAGCTGCAGGTTTCCGTGTGCAGCAGGGATCCCAAAAACAGCAGAAACTTTCAGTATGCCTTAATCCCTCGTATATATATTAGAGTGACCTGGAGAACAAATGCCTTATAACTTTAAGTGACATTGCAGCCAATTCCTGGTGTTTCTTCCCATGAAAGCTTAGAGCCAGTGCCCTTTTATTTCTATGCTTGACATGCCCGGAGATGGGAATTTCAGTGGACTAGCAGACACTCGGATTGTGTAGGGGTGTATTTGGAGAGAAGCAAAAATACCAGGAGGAGGTGCTGGGTTAGAGTCACAGCTCACCTGCTTGGGTCAGCTGGGTGAGGACCAGGTGGGCTCAGTGCCCACTGCTGCAGAAACTGCTGCTGCTCCAGGAACAGGCATCGTGGTCTCAGATTTGCACTCAGTTAGCTAACAGGGGTTATTCTCTGGCTCAAAACATAAATACAGCACTTTGAGTGGACATGAGAGCAGTTTAAGTCTGTAATTGCATGGCTGCTACCTGGCTTATGTCTGCAAGCCATACTACAGAGAAAACTGTCTTTGTTTCATAGAAATGTCAGAGATGGAAATAGGGATAAAGGAAAACATAGTTAGGTGCTGGCTCAAGAGAAATGGGAAATAGAGAGGACTCGATGTACACTTAAGGACAGATTATGTTACTGCAGCAAGGAGTGCCCAGGAGCACTTTTTGTGTCCCTCAAGCTGCTAAACGCACAGTCGGGAGGACCAAAATCTGAACTGGGTGAGCTTGGAGGAAGAACAGCTTTACTCACATGGTAAAGAAAAAGAAACCTTGAAAGTAGTAGAGACAGAGATACCCTACGGTCTCTGAAAAAAATGAGTTTTGATCTATGTCTCCAGAATACTGAGAAAACCTTGGCATTTCTAATGTAAATGAAGGAGGGCCATTGGCTTCTCACATATTTTAGCTAGATAAATTAGTGCATAAAAGTCTCCATTTCAGGTTGTTATCTACCTATCTACCAAACAACACCGTTGATACAAAAAGTAAACAGAAAAAAACTGCATTTTAATGCTAGGAATGAACAGTTCAAAGTAAAAATTCAGATCCATTCAAAAGTCATTCTATCGCTTAGATAAATATACCTACGTAAGATATACTAATGCAGATGCCAAAACCAACTTTGACTTGGTATGTACAGACTCATTCAGGGGACTTTTGTAAAATAATATATCATTCTTTTGAAAATAACATATGAAAAAGAAAATATTATATCAAGAAACAGACGTTGGTGGAAGAGGGCTTTTGTCACATCTCTGTAGTCAGTATCCACGAATGAGGTAAAATGGAAAAAAATTATTATCTGAATTTAATCAAATATATTAACTGAAGATGAGACAGATCTAAAAGTCTGAACTCAAATTTTCAAAAAAATACATTGCAAAAAGATTCAGCTTCAAGTGTAAAGTTCAATGCCAATTTAGAAATACAAATCCAATTATATTATTTTCCTAATGCTTCTTGATTCTCTAGGCAGGACATAAAGCCTTCATAGCCAGCATTCAATTTTATTTTTTTCTTTTGAAAACATTCAAGCAACACCAGAAAATGCTTGTTGCTCCTAAGATGGGGCAGGAGCCTGTAGAAAAAAAAATGAAAAAAATACGCAAATGCTTGAAATACATTGGCTGTGATCAGCTAGTGAGGGAAAAGTGTGCTTGCTTCTTTTCTAGACCCCAAAAATCAGTGCAGTGTGGGACAACTTGTCAGACACCCCAGAAGAGGAGAAGCAGCTCCCCAACTGGTTCTGAGAAAGGCATAAGATCTGGTTCAAGAAATG